CAAGTTGGACATGCATGCACCAATGTAAAAAAGCAAGCATTTTGTCAGGGCGTGCGTCTCAGAGATACTTTCTGTAGGTGAGTCACCTCAGCCTGAATGCCGCCCCTCTAGGGTGTTCTCTGAGGAATTTACAACTTTGTTAGCACGACACCACGCCTACATTTCACGTCTTTCTAGAGTTGTTTTTCACATGCACTCTGGGAGTTTCTGGTGTGTGTTCTTGCTCGTGTGAGTGAAGGTATCCTATCCGGCGTATCCAGTGCATGGCCTGGCTGTGAAATTCCTGTTCTGTTCAAGTACCACGTGTGTAACGGAGACGCTGCTTTTCCTGGCGTCTGGAGAATTCGGCTTGTGTGTGTTGTGCATTTTAGTCTCTCAGTTTAAATATACTCAAAGCTTGTGAAGGATGGGTGTCAGAAAGAGGCAAGCGCTAGATAGGGGAACAGCAGCTTCCTCCTCCATGAAGACCTCTGGGAAGACGCAGTATCCTGAGCGAGTCGATAATATTGACAGGCATTCCAAGAGGCTGTGTGTTATGTAATATACGACCGTGTTTGTGTGTGTGTTTCATCTTGAGGAGCTGTTTATGGCTCATGAGCGTCATCAAAAGCCTGTTGCAGGATCTATTTCCTGAAATAGGACTCCAATGTTTTGTGTTGTTTTTCATTTGGCTATTTCTCCACTTACACAAAATCACAAATAGTTACTGTAAACATGAGATAATACAATCATGAGATATTGTAGATTGTTTTGAATGGTCCATATAAAATCGAATGAAAATGGTCCGTTTTTCATTATGTTTTGTGTGTTGAATGTTGAATGTATGGTTTAATTGTGTTTGCTTTCAGAATCTGCTATTCCTTACACATAATTAAAGCACTTTATGTTTTACAAGAGGAAGATCATATAATAATCTCTGCAACAAACGAATATAGTGATTGTTCTATATTTTTGCAATCATTTGGTAATCACGAGCATACAAAGTAGTCCAGTGAAACCATTCTGTAAACACCTTCATTAAACAATGCACAAACACGTGAATACATGAACGCAAATCCAACTGAAATCAAACATAAACACAGCTCAGATTTTTTTCTACCCTCCACCCTTTTTACCCGAAGTTGAATTTGTCTACATGTAGAAGCTGTAGAACCAAGATTTAAAATGCAACATTACGGTTGCACATTTGGGACTTAACATACAGCAATCGATGGGGGAAATTAAAACATGTGAACCGTCTTATTTTTTAATTGGAGGAACAGGAAACAGGTTTTTTTGGTTATTGGGAAAATGCCGGTAAAAGGTTTTTCCACATTGGACTTCCAAGATTTCCCACCAGCAGAAATGGAGGATTTAACCACTATATGGGGGATGTCGAGGACCTTTTCAACATCCATAAAAGTAAATTAGCATATTATATTGCACACATCCTGCTCCTCTGTTCTGTGGCTCACAGGCTGTATAAAAGACCTGATTAGCATTCCAAAGTCAATTTGATTTATATAGCCCAAATTTACAATTTTGCCTCAAGGGGCTTTACAATCGATCTAGCATACAACACCTTCTGTCCTCAGAGCCTTGGGTCTTCAAACAACTCTCCAAAAAGCCTTTTAAGGAGGAAAAAATAACTTCCAGGTAGAGAAAGGGAAACCTCTTTTAGGATATTAAATATATTCTGGGATGGAGATACAAGAGACCATCATGAGCATTGATGAAATCAGGTGTGGAGACTTCGTTTGATGGTATTAAAACAATTGATTTAAGCACAAAGTAATCTTATCTATCTTCGCTAAAGAAACAAATCATTACCAGTAAGGCTTTTTGACTGTGATCTGATATTGGCAAAACAACATTTGAGGGTTTTGTGGGAGCTGCAGCTTTCAGTAATTGGCCAATAAGCAACAGTAGAGGGATACAATCGTTAGATATTACTCTTCATGTAATCGCCAATATTGGCACAGCTTCCTTTGATTAGCAGCAGATCTCTGTCCTGAAGATATTTTAGGTCACCAGAATCCCTCCCTCACCCCCATCAATCTGCCTGTCCGTCACCCCCATCAGCCCGGTGTCCGTCATCTCCACTCTGGAGCCCAGCTGCATTCCTGGCTTTTGTGTGTGCCGTCCCCTTGGAATTTAGGAGATGGCAATGTGGTGAGGGGGGGGTTGGGTTAGGATGGGACTCACGGGGGAGAACATTGAGTGACGGTGCAGAGACTGAAGTGTAGGACAGCAGAAAGAGAGACAGGCAAGAAAAAGAAAAGGACTGAAGAAGAGCTTAAGGCAGAAAGGAGGAGGAAGTTGGAAGAAGGGTGTGTGTTTGCGTTTGTGTGTGTGTGTTTGTTTGTGTGTGTGTGTGTTTGTGTGTGTCATTAGATTAGGCTGCTTCCCTGGGGGAACAGCCATTATTGATGGATTGATTGCCGGCCCCTCCCCATCCACTCAGGTCTCCTGCCATTGGAGGCCATTCATCTGGTGTCTCTTTGGGATATGATGGCTACTGCATATTTAATTAGCCTTCCATTACAAACAATCAACATTCAGACAAGGGGTTCAGATCAAAGCTTAGGTTTTAGGAACAAAGGTTAAATGACATCTTGCCTTCTGATCCCATGGGGATCTATTGACTATGATCAGGGATGCTTTTACTTCTCCTGTCATACATATTATATACCAAATCGAAGCATACCTGCCAACATAACACCCTTTCCCAGTGAAATAAACCTCATGTGTTGGTTTAAACAATTGGGAAAGTTGATTTTAAACTGTATTTTCTCCACGCTTGTTTTTTTGCGGTTTCTTTTAATTTTGGCGTGTCACAGACGCTTCTGATTGGACCAGGAACCATGATTGGTAAACAATGGTGGAAGCCAGTGAAAATGTAGCATTGGTCTCTTTTTTAATATATTTTTACTTATTCAGTTTCTTTTTCAAACTCTTAAATCAGAGTTGGTGATTGTTTGCACAGTGAAGGAGTAATAAAGATGGATTAAATTAGTCGTCTTGTGTTTTTGTAAAATTCAAATTAAGTGGGTTTCATGATGATCAGCGCAGTAAAATCACTGTGACTGAGGCCCCGTCCACACGGAGACGAAACGGGTTGTATCCGCTACAGTTCTCTTATCGTATAGACGGTTCGTCCACACGAGGCCGACACGGAAACGCGGATAACGATAACGGCTCCCAAGGTGGGTAGATCTGCGGACGAAACACTCTGGGGGGCCAAACGGCTCCGTGTGTACGCCCTATACGATAATTTCCTGATAGCAATGACGCCATAGCCCCGCCTCTCCCCACCTCTGCTGCTCACCCCCGCATCACCCGCGTCATTGCTGATGTGTTTCGCCAACAACAACAACAACAATGGCGGATCCAGACGCTACTGACCATGCTGCAGATGTTAGTGCAACATCTACAGCTCCTCTACCACAACCATCAGCAACAAGTGGACATGGAGAACTACATGAACGACATGTTGCTAAATCCACCGCGGAGAATAAACAGAAGGGCAACCATGGCAACCATGCTCAGGGCGTCTTATTCGCTGCTTTTGGTGTATTTTGTGGCGGAAGTACAGCGCCACTTACAGGCCCGGCATATGTACTACAGCGTCTCCAGCGGGTTGAGCGGTCTCGTGTGGACGGACACGTTTCTGGTGCCGATTCCGTGTGGACGGAATACCTTTTTGATATCGACCTCGGTTCGTTTTCGTCTCCGTTTGGACGTGGCCTAAATGTCTAGCTTTGAAGAAGAGATAAATGAACGTTAAGAAAGTATAATTATTGTCTTCATCCTTATTGATTTCCTTTTATGTATAACTTGTGTAGAAAATGAGCGTGTCAACCCAGGTGTCATGTTTCCATCACAGCCAATCAGAACTCAGGCTGATAATTAATCATGAACACTGCAAAGTCATTTTTCCTGGGAATCAGTCTTGATTGTAAACCATCCCAATAAAGTCAATAGCCAGCTGAGGGATTTTTACTTAATAGTATAACATGGTTTTCAAAGGTCTATTATTCAACATTTAAAAAAAAAAATGCATGTTGTTATTATTAAGAAATAATACATTTACAAAGAAAACAGAATGCTTTCAAGCATTAATCACATCAGTTATTAGACTGTTGCATGCATTGACAGTATTCAATAGTTTGAATTATGTGACATCCATTTATGACCCTCCTCCACAGCTGTTGGGAGTTTGTTCAGAATGAGTATTGTAGTCCCTCTGTGTTAAAAAGAGAAACTCTCTGGGGTGCTGCTGCCGATGGAGCCTCCCTGCTAACACATGCATATGGATGACTTGCTCAACCTTCATGGGCTTTTCTCGTTAATTAGCCTGTGTGTGTGGGTGGGTGTGGGTGGGGGTGGGGGTGGGTGTGTGTGTGTGTCATCCTGCCAGTCACGTTTTATTGTCAGCCTCTGGTGATTCGAAATTAGCTCTCATATTGCAAGTCATTGTATTAAGAGGAAAGACGATAATGGATATATCTCTGTATCCTTTAAAAAACAAAACTTGATCACATTAATTTACACTTAATTAAAGTATATTTTTCAATAGACAGGGACTTTTTGGCCTTACATTATTTAAAAATGAAGATCTTTAAATGTTTATAAATAGTAAGAACGTAATAGAACTGTCATTAAATTAGGCATACATATACAAATGGAAATCTGAGGGATAATGTGAATATTTAAAAATGATCGGTCAGTCTCAAGCAATTTTTGAACATGTCATAGTAGAGGCACAACATACAAATATGATCCTAAAAATGAGCAGAATAGAGCACCTTTAAGGACTTCTTGATGGTCAATCTGAACAACAATGAGAGTATTCCAAATGATTAGTCAGTTGTTCATGCATTTAACATTTTAAAATGAGTAAGCTTGTCAATTTATGAGTATAGCTTTGATCGAAGTCTTATATGAAGTCCCATAGGATTTCTCTTTTGCTGTTTAATTGGGAACAAAAAGCTGATTTGTCTGTCTCCCTGTTCTCCCAGGTGTTTCTGTTCTTCTGTGAAACCTGCTCGGTGCCTATCTGTCGGGAGTGCAGTGTGGGCCGTCACATGGGCCACACCTTCGTTTATCTACAGGACGCCGTACAGGACTGCAGGTCCATCACCATCCAGCTGCTGTCAGACGCCCAGCAGGGACGCCAGGCTGTGCAGGTGAGACATGAACCAGGACAGACACTTTCAAAGGGATTAAAACATACAATATCCTTCAGTTATTACTTTTTGTACTCCTACTGTAAAAGCTTGAACTTATGCAGCAGTCTTGAGGGAAACATAAAATCTGCATAAAATAATACTTAGTGTTGTGCTAGAGCTGGGGGACATAAAACCATATTACTATTTTTGTCCAAATACTTCAATATCAATATTGTGACAGTATTGTAGGGTTGATGCTTTCACAAAATATTTTAACAATGAGAAATTTGACAAATATTGACAAGTAATGTTGATTTATAGCAAAGGTTAATAATGTGATAGCTCGAACAGTCAAGTAAATTCAGAAAATGACATCCATTCACTGTAAAGCAACCTTTTAAAGCAGGAAAAAAACAAATCTAAGACGATATTCATCCTCATATCAGAATATGGGTATAATATCAGATTTTGTCCTAATAAAAGTGTGTAAAACGGAATATAAATTCAGGACAACACGACCAGATGTCCTTATAATTGGTTCAAAAGAAAACCTGCTTGAATCACTCCACCGGATTCAAAAAGGCCAACCTAATTTAAGTCTTTAACTGCGGGAAGCTCATCTGCATGATTTCTTCAAGGTCTGACAAAAAGACAATCCTTGTAAAGGTCAAGCCGCACAAACCCAAACTCATCCATCTCCTGGAGACGCCGCGGAGAGCAGCTGTGTGTTTCCAGCGTCGCTCTACACAGATGATCAGCCTGAATGTGTTTTGAGAGTTTGACCAGTGCAGGGGCTGCTGGGACGCCTGAGGTTAGAGGTGTCCAGCTGGCCATGAAAGGGGGTTGGGTCACATGGGGTGAGGGCTGAAGGTCACAGGGGTGGAGGAGCGGAGAGGAGGATGGGGGAGGGTAGATTAGGTATTTAAAGGGGACCTATCATGCAAAATGCACTTTTGTACGTCTTTTATACATGAATATGTGTCCCCGGTGTTCCAGGGAACTCACCAAGTGTCAGAAAACACAACCCTCTCTATTTTCCTCCATACCCAAATCTCTAAAAAATAGGCGCTACGGCTATTGGGCCAACTCCACCAATCAGGAGGAGACAGCCACTGCCGTTTGAAAGCGCTGGAGACGCTGTAGTACATATGCCAGGCCTGTAGATGGTGCTGTTCTCACAGAATCTGCCCTTGCTAAAACAGATCTAAAAAATGTCAAATTGAGCAAAATGAGGCATGGCTAAAATGCATGATCTGTTTGGTATTTTGAAAAAAATAAAGTATAAATATGCCTTATATAGGTATGGTCCTACACTATATTATTCAAATATAGCATGATAGGTCCACTTTAAAGGATTTCTGAGAAAGGAACACTTTGCCCTACCCCCTTTTCAGGCACTTACCCATCCACTCCTCCCCCTCCCCCTCTTACACACACACACACACACACACACACACACACACACACACACACACACACACACACACACACACACACACACACACACACACACACACACATACACACACACACACACAGCCTGCCTACAATTACGTAATTATAGATTTGGTGGCAGCCTCCTAGACCCCCCCCGGTTGTTTCCAATCCATACAGTGACATAAGTGAAGAAAGGGTGAGAGGTTTCCGTAACAGTTTGATATTTGCCTAAACAGTCCTGATCCTCTTTGCTGTTCGACACTTTTTTTTTAGGAAAGTTGCAAGACTGACAATAGAATAAAAGAAAACATAGATTATTAGTGTTCAATATTAAATACTTAGCCATCCCTGTTGCTATAGCTCTGATAGAGGTGTGCCTATCACAGTTAAACATGATAAAGAACGTTAAGGAAACGGGAAGATTAAGCTCAAAATATTTAATGTTTAAGAATCCCAACCTGAACACATATACAAAAATATGCTGGATTACAAAAACAGATGGATTGTTATGTTCCATAATGCTGCCTAATTACCATAAAGGAGCTTCATTTATATAAATCAGAGAGGAAGAGATTCAGGAACTCACACACTTTTCAATCAAAAAATTCAATTGCCGTCAAAAAACGTGGTGGTTTATAACCAAATTTCAAACCCTTTATGTGCTCTAATTTACGTCTTGTGTTTTTAAATAACGATTAAAAAAACGTACATGATTAGTTGTTTGAAATAATACAAATTACCAACAATTTTGATAAGCAATTAGATTTCTACAGTTATTTCTACAACTGCCAGTTTAGCCGCTGTATTCAGGCACAGAAGTAGTCTCAGCTAAACGTGTGCTAACATGCTAATGTTTAGCAGGAACTGTTAGCCATGCTCACTAGCTTAGTGTAGCAAGCTAGCATGCTGCTTACATTTTCTAGTAAGCCCAAAACTCAAGGTATATGGAGGTGGTTGCTATTGGATACATTTTGACCTCATGTTAGGGGATAATAAAATAATAAAAGTTATTTACGTTTGTGGATATGAATGAGTTATGAGTTGTAGCCAAAGCTAAAAGGGGTAACAGTACTGGGTCACTCCCTAGCGTGGTCTAATGTGCCTGGGAGGTGTGGTTATTTAGTGTTATGACCCTTTCTACCAAACTTGAAATACTAGCTGTTCCACTAAGGTCATGTGACAAGCAGGCATGTACTGTATCTCTTCCTCAGAGCTTGACCTTTGTGTGATCGGGTCTCGCTTTGTGCCTTAATGGATGGATACTTGTGTCACTCTGGGTGTTCTGAAAATTCCCACATATCACAACACTGCCTAGTTAAATAGCAGTCACCAGACTATGTTTAGTAAAGCTAAAGATAATACCACAACACACACGTTATCTTGACCAATGAGAGACAAAATCCAATAATTGATGTAATGAACAGCACATGGATCTGTGCTGAGTCATAAGAAACCCCCCCCACCATCTGGCATTACGTTGGTTTTTCATGCGTTTGTCTATTTTGGCCCAGGTCAACATGAGAGTTAATGCTGACGCCAGATAATACACACACACACACACACACACACACACGCTCCACTCTGTCCCCTGAGGTCGGAAATTTCCGCCCACTCCACATCCATTATCTTCCCTGACCTCCGACCCTAGGCTTGTGACCTCCTAGTTGGTCAGAGTTGCGTCACGCTGCAATTATTTGATTGGTCGGTTTCACCCTCTTTGTGTTCCAAGATGTGCCTTTCTGGAAATGTTGAGAGGAAGACGCAAAGAGAGGAGATGGAGACACTGAGACAGGGAGGGATATTAAGAGAAGAAGAAGCCACTTAATCAACGAAATTCAGTTTTTCTTTACACACAGTTAAGATACACACATGCACAAACACATAGATTTTTTTATGGAGGCGTGTCAGAGAGAATTTGAGGTTTTACTCCACTAGGGAGCAATTGGGGGTTTTGTGCCTTGCTCGAGGAGACTTATCTAGTAAGCAGTCCACACTTTGTACTTTTTTTCCAATCGGGACTTGAACCGGCAACCATTTGGTTCCAAAGCCAAATCCCTACAGCTACTAAGAGCAAGAAGCAGTGTTAAAAATAAAAACTGAGCTGCAGTAAAACAAATCAGAAAAAATAGGAACATTTATTATTGATTAATTATTTGACAAAACAGAAGGGAATTTGCGTTTTAGAGGAACACACAAAGCTAACCGGAAAAAAAGGGTGTTGGAGCATTCATGGTTCCTCCCTTTCTCTTTCCTCATGTATTGATAAAACTCCCCCGGTTCTTCCAAAAGTCCCCCCCCCCCCCCTGCTGTTCTCTCTCTGGGGGCCGGATTTATTTGACCATTTAGCTGCCCACCTCAAATGGCCAGGGGAAAGAGAAAGAGGGCCTGCTGCCAGGCTTTGTTCCTGCAGGGCAGCAGTGGGGGAGGACGGTATGTGTCTTAAGACAGAGGTGGCAGATCATGACCTGTCGAGGTTTGGGGGACCTCTGATCCCTGCGGCCGATATCACAAAGGAGGCCTTATCCCACCTCCCCTTCGTCCCTGTGAGGTCCGGCTCACCCTGTGACCTCCCAGAAAACGCCACAGGAAAAGCCAGATAAAACACAGCAGGGAGAGGGAGGGAGACAAAGAGGGAAATTTGCATTAAGCCCAAATTGGGGATGGTAAAAGCTTACACCTTCAGTTCATGCCTTACAGCTGTATTTCAGTGCCTGGGTTTATTAGGGTAATGAAGAAACAGTGTCTACATTATTAAGGCCCCGGCCCCACGGGAACGCATACGGCAAAACGCATTGGATTAACGCAAACGCAATCGCCAAAAAGCTTCCGCCCACACGCAATATACACCGGATAGTGTCTTCCCACACGAGACAGCTCCGTTTAGATCCAACCGCTGGAAAAGCTGCAGTACATATGCCGAGTAGAGATGGGCGAGTCCTGATTCATCCGGATCATTAACCCGGATCCTAGAAATGAGCTGGTCGTGACGAGTCTCCCCTCTCCATTAACCCGAGTCCTTTGAGTCCCACACTTGGTGTGACGTACAAATTAAAACTATAAATTGCGTCACTCGCTACTCTCTTTATAACATGTAAAATCACATTACAACGTACCCCAGTCCATCTGCCTACCCTTTAGCAAGTAGGATAGCTGCCAGAAGTGATCGTTTGGCTCAGGGGAGGGGACGCGGATCAGTGAAACTTCCTGCAGACTCGTGGGGACTCAGAGGAGCCGACGGCTCCTAACCGTAATAGCATAGCAGATCCAGAGATCCATACTCGTCATGTGCACGAGCATAGCCCCTCCTCCAGCACCCGACTCCCGCGGCTATATTATGCACGAGTCAACAGCAGACTCAGATTTGCAAAATAACCCTTTTTTTTGTGATCAACATTTTTTATTAAAGCAAAATACACTGTGTAGCGGAGGTTAATATAACGTCAGTTTAATATGCTCGTGAAATGCAACACGTTTTCGGTTTCACCGATAGGATTTCTACGGTCTTGGTGATGCTGACTCATATGACTCATATGACTCAAATGACTCGTATGATCCGGATCTCTTCAATGACTGACTCAGAAGACCCTGAGTCCGTAAAAGGATCCGGATTTGCCATCTCTAATGCCGAGCCTGTACGTGGCGCTGTAACTTCCTCCACAAAAGCAGCAACTTCCTCCACAAAAGCAGCGAAGAAGAATGGTTGTCATGGCTGCACTTCTGTTTATTCTCCGCGGTGGGGGCCGAGGGAACCAGGCAGAGTTTTTCGCCGGTCAACGTGTGTTAAAGTTGAAATCTTCCGGACAAAATTATAAAAGTGCCGGTCAAAGGTCTTCATTGTTATTTATTGAGCTTTAAAACAAATGAATAACGACTCTATATAATGATATATAATAATAAAATACACGGAGCCTGTCTCTTTTTCCTCTCTTCTGACAGCGTCAGTGTCTGTCTCATGCAGCAGCTGATCCTGTAATGAGTGACTCGACAGTAAAAATAAACATATTTATAACTAGTTTAGGTAGTTTGAGAGGTAATTAAAATAGCTAAGGGTGATGATCTGACTTGAAGTGTGTGTTTTGCTCCCGCTGCATCACAGCGGGAGGAGCTGCGTGTCTCCGTCCTGTCAGATTAGACTTCACTCGCGTTTATGTCCATATCGAGATAAAGATAAATAATCTGAATTCAGTGTGCAGTGTACTTTTGCGGGGGTGAGCAGCAGAGGTGGGGAGAGGCGGGGCTATTGCGTCGTCATTATCAGAAAATGATGACCGTATAGGCTACCACACGGCCCCGTTGGACCCCCCAGAGCACTCCGTTCCCAGATCTATCCATCTTTGGACCCGTTGTTGTTTGCAGGGTCCGTTTCTATCGTTCCGTTACGGCGTCGTGTAGCTTAAAGGGCTATACGCAAGAGAAATATGCGGACACAACCCGTTTTCGTTCCCGTGGGGCCTGGGCCTGAGTAAAAGAGATTCTTGTTCAGGACCTAAAATACCCAAAAGCAATTTGCATGTTGCTCTATAGGGCTGTTTAAAAAATATATAATATCAAACATACCGAACTATTTATAAAATAAAAATATAATCTATTGAGAGTATCATTTTAATTGACATCATACAATTTCAATGTATGATTATTAAAATAAAGTTAAGTTAATAACATTTCCAATAAAAAAATATGTAATCAAGCCTAAAAAATCGTACCAAATGTGCAATGCCATTTTTAATTTCTTGACACTTTTTCTCAATTTCAACAACATTAATTAATTAATTATGAGCGTTATAGTGTCCCAAATGTAGTGCTTATAATTCCCACGATGCCCACTTTGAATATCAGGACTGAGTCTGGGTTAAATCAGCAGGAAGTAGCATCATTTTGTGCAGTGGGAAGTGACTTCCTATTCCTGACCCCTGTTTCCCTTTCCCTTCTAAAGTAGCCGCCAAACGTGAGAAAGGAACAAATCGCAAAGCTGAGCAGGTGTTAGAGCATGGGCCTGCCAGGAAAGATGTCCCGTACAGTGTCCTCTGTTTTAAATGTTTCCTGGTCCTGTGCATCCTGTTTCTGGGTGTCATCTGTGTCTCACCAGAGTAATAAAACAGAGCATGAGGTGGTGTGCGTTTAGACGTCCACCTTTCCTTTGTTACACTGCAGTGAGAGATAATGCTATCTTTGCTAATTTCCACATCTTTTTCCAGTTTTTTTTAATGATTTTTCTGATTGTGTGTATAACTATACCAATATTACCCTCCCCTAACTCTAGCGATGTCACTATGTAACGGAAGTAAACAAAGGAGTACGATTAATGGGTTTCAGGCAGGGGGGGGTAGTGTGGGAGACCTTGGGATTTTAGCCCTTCCAGACCATTTTCATTTCTATAACACACCACAGGAAAGGGAAAACCCCAAAAAGCACAATAGGGCCGCTTCAAGGAACAATGCCGAGCTGAAACTATAATTATTCATGCATGGTCTACTAGAAATCTCATCTAGATACTTGGCCCTGTGACATTATGGTGTGGTTTCATTTGGGACTGATAAAGGTGGACATCAGTCATGATATAACTTCATAACCAAGGTGTAAATTGAAATAGAAAAAGGTAAACTGTAAGGAAACACTTGCTAACTCTCCTATCATTGTGTTTTGTTTCAACAGCTAAGCATGGAGAAGGTCCAGGCCATGGCGGAGCAGGTGGAGATCAAAGCCAAGGTGGTGCAGACCGAAGTGAAGGCCCTCGTGCTCCGACACAAGAAAGCTTTAGAGGAGAGGGAGTGTGAACTACTGTGGAAGGTGAGCTGCTGCCTGCATCTTTATCAGCGTCAACTCACTTGACCATATCATGCTAGTTTTTAGTTTCATATTCCTATGTTGTGCCTCTACTGTGACATGTTGTTATGTTCAAAAAGCTCTTTATTTTTCTCATACTGCCTGTGCTGCAGCACATCTGTCCACCCTCTGTCTCAAACCAGAGCCCTGTCTGCTCTGATTGGTTAGCTGGTCGGCTCTGATGTGATTGGTCAACCGCTTAGAGATGTCCCGCCCCTTAGCCTATCACGTACAATGTGTTGGAGCGCTAGCCAATAGAAGTGCAAGTGTTACATAGTGATGCCATTATGTTAGGGAAGCAGACAAAGGAGGTGGGGGGGGGGGGGTGTTTAGGAGAGAAATTCCCTCTGGAGGGAACAAAATCCCAATTAAACACTAAAAGTAAGGGAAGACTCCAAATATGGTCCCTTTTTGAATGTATTGTATATCCTTTGATACCCTCCAGGTACACACTGGTAGAGCCATTGTTAGGGAGAATAAAGTTGTGTGCTTTTAAGGCGCATGTTATGTTGATAATCTTGTTAGCTTATTAAAGTCATAAAGAGGCATCAGTATTCAATTGAGAAGGTTCATAACCAGTGAAGAACTCCTTGTAGTAGCTTAAGGTTAAACAGGAACCCTCTGAAGGCCCCCCAGGTTTAAGGTTACCCAGAGAAGGAGCTGGGTTTTGGGTGAAAGAAACAACCCTCATCCCTGAGGCCCCTCTAACTCCCTAAACCTTTTCTAATAAATGAATTAAAAGGGACTGTGCTACATGCAGGCTATTATACCAGTCAAATATCTCATACACACACGTTCAAACACACAAAATCTGCGTCTATTAACTACAACTGAAAACGGGTAGTTAAATGTGCGTTTATGTACATGTGGAAAGGTGTTGCTGTAGCCTTACAGAACATCACGGATGATTTATCCGAACACCCACCGGTCTACCCAACTCTTATTTCCCCTTTCCTCCTGAGAGCAGGCTCGGTGACATTGTAAAAACTGACCTGTGTATTTCTCCCTCAGATCTTACAGCTCTCAAGTGTGCATGTGTGTTTGTGTGCAGGTCAAAGTGTCAGCGAGGAGGTTTTCACTTACCCGTGGTCCCTCTTTAATCCTTTATACACCACTACAGGACCCCTTATCCCTGCCCTGATAAAGTCATTACAGGCAACCAAAGCACCCTACACACACACACGCACACGCACACGCACACGCACACACACACATAAATATATATTTGTTTCTCTGAGTATTAAGGTGGGTGTGTGTGTGCGCACGTGAGCTTTGCCGACTGCAGCTGCTACTACAACAACAAAGGGGCGGGGCTTAGCAAAGGGTCATTTTGTAAGAAGCAACAATCGATTAGTCATTAAAAATAAATGTTGGCTAAACTAATAATTAATCATTCCCCCTCTAAAGGTAAATAAATTAACCTAATCGTAGATGATATCGATCATTGCCAATATACGCTACACAATCCTCAACTTGGGACTAAAAGAACAGAAATTCCTTAGAAATAATGGTCATCTGTGATACCTCAATAATACTGAGTTTGGTCATTTCAGCTCAGTAAGACTGCAGTGGTGGCATGCTATCACGTTCCTATGCTGTCATTGACTCCGGTGAATAAAGCTTGCAAGTTGAGCTGTCCTCTGCTGACTCAGACAAGATATTGGAAATGACTCGGCTAGTGTTTCCTGTACGGTGAGCCTGTGTGATGGCCACTGTGGGCTCACAGTGGTGTCCGGAAAACAGAAACTAAATCTAGGAAGGCGCTCTGCAGTGACTCAGCTCTGTGGCTCTGCTCTAGAGTGATTCATGGCTGTGAGATGACAGCAAAAACAATAGTATAAAGTTACTCAGGGGTGAAATATTTGTCTTGAAAGTGTGAGTCTGGGTGTGTCTTGTGTAGGTTGTGAATGTGTAGCACCGGCATTGGCTAGCATGGTAAATTACAAGGTGTTATTACATCAAAGAGCAGTCCTTCTCGCTGTCTCTGGGTTTTTTCCGCTCAGTACCTCTTTGAAATACATACCAACCTACCAATGAGTGTGTTCAACTCAAACTCCTTGTCTGCCCATTAGACAGCCTAACTTGAGTCATTGTCCTGTGTGGCTATAAAATGTAACTCGAGTCACACAGATGCAAATTGCAATTCCACTTACGCCAAGGATTAACAAAAGAGCCCCTCTCTTTTGTTTCTTTCACAGTCCCTCCACACTATCAGAAGTCCTTCTAGCCATAGAAGCAGTCAGGCTATTGTGTTTTACTCTTTTTGTTTGCTGACGGTAAGCAAGAGCCCAATCTGTGCTTCTCAGGTTCTGCCACCCTCTTTAATGCTTTGTTCTCACAGTCTGTACCGTAACTCTACCTAGCTTCTAAAGGGAACAGAGATGTGTGGTGGTTTAGTGACAAGTTAATTTATTTTCTTCACCTTCGGCTGAATAAATCACTTTTTTGAACCACTTTTCATTTTGTGAGCTGCAGACCCTGGTATCTCTTTGTATAGTTGACTTTGTATGCTCATTGTTGTCCTATTGTCTTCTGTTGTATTGTTCAGACAGAAGCAACAAACCTGCAATAGTGCCTTACAACTGCTTAAGAAATACTAACTGTGATGCAAATTGGACTCACAGCAAACTATTTAGCACTTATAGAATATGCATTAGTTTTGCCCTTTTGTTTTAATGGATTACAAACATTTAAGATGTATCTATCTACAGTTGCAGTATTTCATTTTGTATGTTTGAATGAAATGATCAAAAAGGATTTTCAATTGAGCTTCCCAACAAAGATAATATCCATATTTCCTGTATCAGAATCAGGGAGTCATGAATAGTAATGACACGGAATTAAATATGATGTAAAGTAAACGACCATACCAAGTCAAGCACATTTTGTCAATCACATTCATTTGTTAATTACCATGTAATGTACTATTTCTCGTCCATGCCCATTAACTTTAAGTAAACATTTAATAGTGTCTCTTGTAGATGCATCTCTGCTACTTCAAGTCACTTCACTTAACCTGCATTGTACCAGACTTTAGACACACTGATGCCCTGTCAAATGGTATGCATTCAACTAGCAGCATATCAGCCAAATATTCTTCTTCTCCTTCCTGAATATCTGAGAGACTTGGCATGGTCAGCACATTGCTGCCACCCTGTGGGCACACTGGGTTTAGATTACCAGGAGACTTGTTTAATTCCACTTTCAATCTTATGTTTAAAATTACATAGTCATGTGGTTGCACAGAGAAGTGTGTTATATCGGGGTATCTTTTAATGAAGTTTACCAGTATGACACACACACACTTGTATAGAGTGCATATAGTGGCATCACTTCAGGAACAGACAAACATGTGTAATTTTGTAATATAATAAATGCAAAATAGTTTGTGTTTTAGTTGCCTACGTTATCTGTGCTGATTTAAATATATCATACAAGATATAACCTTATAATTTCCTGCAGCAATAGAGTGTTTTTGTCGTGTGCTTTGATATGCTTTTTGAACAATAAAAACCCCTTTTTTAGAGATTGTTAACGTTCTGGTTCCTGGTTCTGTCTCCTCTCAGGTGGAGAAGATCCGTCAGGTGAAGGCCAAGTCTCTGTACCTGCAGGTGGAGAAACTGCACCAGAGTCTGACCAAGTTGGACAGCACCATCGCCGCCGTCAGCCAGGTGCTGGACGAGGGCCGCCACCTGGACGTCCTGCTGGCCCGAGAGCGAATGCTCACACAGATCCACGAGCTGAAAGCTCTGCGGGGTTTGCTGCAGGCGCAGGAGGACGACCGCTTCATGTTCACTCCTCCAGACCAGGTAGCTCATCTCCTGTCAAATAAAGTACAGCATAACATGACAACATCCTCTGAAAGATGAGACTAAAATAGAAATGAGGTTTTAAAGAAAAGCAACACTAAAACAATTATGTAGAAACCAAATCCTGAATGGTTATGAGCAGGAGCTGTGAAATTTGTTTTTGTACAAATAAATGATTTGTTTAAAACAATTAATCAAATATAACGGATGCTGATGACGATGACCTAAACTTTTTTTATGAACAATGTACGGTTGAGGGGATAGGACCAGAAACGATTGTAAGCTTCTTCTTGCCCCTTCTGAACATGACGGAAACTATTTGAGAATTTATTTTTCAATTTTTTTATACCTTGAATTTTTTTAATTTTGCTTCTTTGTTAAAATAATTATTATTGTTTGTTTTGTTTCTAACATGTTCAATAAAAAGACTAATACAAAACACTGATTGGAGGAGAGGGGCTATGGCTGTTTAACCTTGTGTATTATTTAAATGCATTCTGTTAAGAGTGTAAATCTTTAAAACACACTAATGTTTTCCTTCGTGCTTCCCTCAGGCTCTGTACATAGCCGTCCAGTCGATGGGTCTGATCAGCAGCGGAGCCTTCGCCCCCGTCACCAAAGCCCACGGCGAGGGTCTAAAAACTGCCCTACGTGGCAAACCCTCCTCCTTCACTGTGATTGGATACGACCATGACGGCGAGCCTCGTCTCTCCGGCGGCGACACGGTGTCAGCGATCATCATGTCGGTCCCGGACGGTCACCTGACGGCCGTGGAGGTCACCGACCACCAGAACGGCTCGTACACCGTGGGCTACCTGCCCAAGAGTGAGGGGGAGCACCTGCTGTCGGTGCTGGTGTGTAACCAGCACATCCAGGGCAGCCCCTTCAAGGTGCTGGTGAAGTCGGGGCGCAGCTACGGAGCCCTGGGGTCACAGGTGGCAGCCTTTGGGAACGAGGGGGAGGGAGACGGCCAGCTGTGTCGCCCCTGGGGCATCAGCGTGGACAAGGAGGGATACGTGGTGGTGGCCGACCGGAGCAACAACCGCGTACAGGTAGAGACTTCTGCCTGCTCTTTTTAACACGTACATCTGGTTAGAGTTCATTTACATTCATTTATTCCACTGTATGGTTTTGAATTGTTCATTCTGTTGCCTCGATTGCCAAACTCATGTTTATGCATAAAGTATAGGTCAATCACAACAAAGGAAAAACATTTTTTAAATTAAATTAAAAGCAACAAAAAAGCATTGATATCCGGAGAGGTCTAAGATATGTTCCCACTATGTCTTCCAGTTGCTACCCCTTGCAGCAATTCTCATTTCAATAACGGTGGTACAAACAGAGGGGATGATGTCATAAATATACATTCATACACACATATATAACCAGTTATTCCCTTGTCCATGTGTATACATACACACTTCCTTTTGTTTGTAATTCTACCCTTTGTTTCAGTCTGTCTCGACTAAGCACCACAGCGATCTGGACTTAAATTGAATTTAGAGTGGTTATAAGTAATGTACCATCCACTCAGCATTCACTCAGCAGTTCATGCTAACTTCACACTGTTGATTTTTGTGCCAAATGGTTTACATAGTGGAGAGTCTGCAAAACAAACTTTGTGTTTGAGTGTTGAAAAGTGCATTTGGCTTCCATTCTTCCCTACACACACACACACTTTTTCCTTTGTCAATTACAATACATTACATGTCACTTGTTAGACGCTTTTATCCAAAGCGACTTACATACTCAATACTGTGGGCAATCCCCACAGGAGCAATGTGGGGTGAAGTGTCTTCAGGGACACAACGACATGCTGACTGCAGTGGGGTTTGAACCTGTGCTCCCCTGATCCAAACACCAACGCTCCCTCCACTGCGCCACACGCCTCCCTCAATAAATCGTGACCCGAAATTTGAACCACTCAAATCTATTCAACAAAAAATCGTGCTGTAATATATATATATATACGCTTTTCAGCATACATTATTAATTAAAGTGAAGTACAGTGCATATATCCCTTATATCCCTTCACAGAACTAAAGTATGCTTTTAAATAAGGTTTAATGAGATGATGGAATCAAAGCTGAACTGTATCACATAAAAAGGCACACGTGCTGAAAACCCAACCCCAGCAGGGGGGTCTGGGGGGGATTCTCCCCCAGGAGATTTTTTGAAATACTAACATATAAACTACGCATTCAGGTACACTCTGAGAAGAAAATAAATAAATCTATTACTACCCGACATATTCATAATATTTTATGCCATTGTTTGTTTGTCACTTTGTTCTGAAGCTGAACTTGCTGCTCCACACAGAGAGAAGAGCAAAGAGGAGATAGTCTGTGTGAATTACTTTAAATTGTGGGTAAGGGTAGATAGCCCCCATTGTTCTGTGACCTGTCAATCATCAAACCGGGGGTCATATTTCATTATGTGTTCATTTTTATCTGAAGTTGTACCCATGGATGTATAAAGAATAGTTCTACTGCAAAGTTATTCTCCGTGGGGACTTCCGGCAACAATCTTGATTCTGATTGGCCAGAAGACTCGAAAAAACCTCAGCAAAGATGCTTTATTGAGAAGATGATCACTACGTGACAGAAGTTTTCAAAACCGTTTATGGTCTCCGGTACTTCCAGTCCAACGCCTACTGCACGCACAGTGTTAGACTTTTTTCTTTTCTTCACTCACACATCTGCAACCCACTCGAAACGGGTCCGCGACCCACCAGTTGAGAACCACTGCATTAGAGTACATTCTGTAGAAACTGCACAAACACAGCTGAGTTTGACCCTTTCACTTAAACAATTAGAGCTGTCATTGAATTGGAATCAACGTTTTTGTTTCTTCGCTCTCCAGATATTCAAGCCCTGCGGTGCCTTCCACCATAAGTTTGGCTCTCTGGGTTCCCGTCCGGGACAGTTTGACCGTCCGGCCGGGGTTGCATGTGACAGTCAGAGACGAATCATTGTGGCTGATAAGGACAATCACCGAGTGCAGGTACGAAATGTTTAGGTGCTAATTCAGCTGGCATTCCACATGTGAATTGGAAGTCCATAAGACATTGGAGAATAAATGTTATTGTAAAAAAGCATGTTAAGCTTCTGAAAACCTTTTAAAGTTGTGTAAACACACAGCTCCACATGCTTATTCTCTCTCCTGCAGATATAAACACGTTGGACTCTAACACATTTGCTTTGTCTGACAGGTGTTTACTTTTGAGGGCCAGTTCCTGCTGAAGTTTGGGGAAAAGGGTACCAAGAACGGGCAGTTCAACTATCCCTGGGATGTGGCTGTCAACTCTGAGGGTAAGATCCTGGTCTCGGACACCAGGAACCACCGCGTGCAGCTCTTCGGCCCCGACGGCTCCTTCCTCAACAAGTACGGCTTCGAGGGGGCCCTGTGGAAACACTTTGACTCTCCCAGGGGCGTGGCCTTTAACCACGAAGACCACCTGGTGGTGACCGACTTCAACAACCACAGGCTGCTGGTCATCCGGCCGGACTGCCAGTCGGCTCGCTTCCTGGGCTCCGAGGGCACCGGGAACGGGCAGTTTCTACGGCCCCAGGGCGTCGCCGTGGACCACGAGAACCGCATCATCGTGGCCGACTCCCGCAACCACCGGGTCCAAGTGTTCGAGCCCAACGGGAACTTCTTATGCAAATTTGGCACACAGGGGAATGGCTTCGGACAGATGGACCGCCCCTCCGGTGTGGCTGTGACGCCCGAAGGAGTCATTGTGGTCGTTGACTTTGGAAATAATCGCATCCTCAAGTTCTAAGATTTATTTTTGTGCATTCTCCGCCTCCGTTTGCAGTTTTCTTGATGAAGGAAATGGAGGCGAGAGAATGAATCAACAGACACAACAGGAGGCGGGCGCAGAGAGGGTTGAGAGCAAGCTGCAGTGAAGGGAAATTAAAACTATAGATTTTTTTTTTCATGTGTATTGATATATATTTTCCAATCAGATATCTGGTATGTATGACAAAGGGGACCTCTACAAATTGATAATCAGTAGAAAAAGCCATATTTCCATTCCCCGGTCTCAGCTGCTCTGAACCCTCTCTGTGAGCTCCTCTGTAGTATCCATCTCAGGGATTTTTTCACTTTTCTTGAAATCTTGTACCCTCTGCTCCACACCTACCTCATTTAACTCTTTATGAATGTACTCATAATCACTGAGCAGAGGTTTAAAGTCCGTGAAGTTTTACAAAGAAGAAAAGCCTACCTCTATACTTTGTTATTTAAGAAAGACAAAAAAAGAATAGACTGTTCAGTTGATATTTGCACAGGATTAAAGACATTCTTGCTGTGCATTTCGAAATATGAGTTAAAGTGAACCTCCTGAATGTTGTTGCTGAGACAATACTCAGACCGCTGTCGAGGCTACATGATTTATTCTCATTAGAGGGCTTCTCTCGGAGAGGGATTAAGTGTCCTTTTTAATGTTTTTTTTCGACTAGCTAGTTTTTTGCTTATGCATCGATCCTTGTCTCTTTGTGGCTCTGCGGAGTTTGTCATGGTCGCCTAAGAAGAGAGCGCGAAGCGAGGCCAAAATAGAAAGAATCTAATTTAGCTCAGGTCACGGAGGACTGATTGAAATGATCAGACTCCCCCTCTAGTTTTACTAGCTAATGCCGAGTGAATTTATTGAGAATTAAAAATATATAAAGTCATCTCCAAAACGATCCCTAAAATAAATCCTGTTTTAAAATATGATCATCCAATACTCCCCTTCCCCAACCGTGTCTCATAAGACTGGAAGAATTATTGTCAAGACAACCTGAGTTGTTATTCTCCAGTCAGCTGCATAAATGCAAACTAAAGCATGCAGTATCTAAAAGGGAGCACACCAAAGGATTTTGGTGATGAATTTTGTTTCCAAGATCCGGATCTATTAGCGATCTTAATATAGAGATGTAATCATTTAATTGAATGACACCTTTTTCATGAGGCATGCTGTGTGACAAAAGCCTCACAAGTAGACACCTGATTTGGCTGTCCAGAGGACGTTAATGACATCAAATGTAAGGCCTGACATTTACAATCCTTTTGATTTGGATGGTGGTTGAAAGCCACCGTCTGTGGCTCCTTGGGGCCCGGGATTTAGTCGAATGAGAGGGCGCGATCAGGAAGTCCTGCCCTATTTATTGATGTTGGAGTTGAGGAGAAACCTCCAGATTGAGCGTCAGTAGACCGATTCCTCGAAAGATGGAAGTCTATAGACTACTGGAGTTAACCAAAGTTAGATTTTCTGTACAATGGCCAACTGTAGATTTGGCGATTTAAAGAAAAAAATATATATCCCCTTTAAAAACATTTTCTTAAATAATTATTGTTGCTGGGAAGTCTCAAGTTCATAAAGGGCCTGGAGTTGAGGTCATAGTCCATGTAAGGCTTAGAAGAACAAAGTGCACGTGAGTTTATCATGCACGTGCGCTTTGCCTTCCCGCTATGACCTGCAGCTGTTTGATCCAGGATGTGACAGGAGATTTCTGCAGATGTTCGTGGTGTAGAGAACAGAAGATACCCGCACCAAAGATAACCCCCTTTCCCTCCCTCGCATTTATCGCCTCAATCAAACCTCGCCCATCTTTGGTCCTTTTTAGACGACCCGTAGACTCAGAATAGCATCTCAGATCTGTACCTCAATAGAAACTAATCGCTACTAACTCTTGCAGGGTTTTAAATCCCCTTGCCCTTTTTGTTTGATCCGTGTCCCACTGGAAGCACTAGACAATTATTCGGTTCTGTTAGCCACTTCCTTAGCCTAGCGACGAATTTTGGGACCTTTTGAAAAGAATGACCGACCGGCGCTCCCCTCAGAGGAGAGGATTTACGCCGTCATATCTCAGATATCCTGTACCTCAATGTTTGTTTTACCTCCTTTCTCGTATATATACCTCAACTCCTGAATACCTCAAGTGTGTCACTCATAGCTACTGTGCATTTAAACATTTAAATACCTCAACTTGTTACACATACCACGTTTTTACTCTTATATTTAAGCATACCTCGTCTGATTGTTATGCATTACAGATATACCTCATTCTTTGAATCTTCTTGTGTTACAGTGCAGTACATGTCCCATAGCTCTTGGACCAAAGATCATGGTTTTGTTGAAACAGAGAAAAATTGTATTATGGTCATCGCTCCATCCTGCAACCCTGAGCAGCTTTTTGGTTTGTCTAATCTACTGTAAAATGCCTGGTGAACTATGCCTTTTATCATCAAGAAACCAAATATTTCAGATGAAAGCATCGTGCCAAAATGATCTGTGAGAGTTCAGTGCCAAACGGAGTTGGCATTGGGACCAGAAGTTGTAGACAACAAGTGTCACTGGACCGTTACATCACAGATACACATGTGGAATCATGAGAGCACCTGGGGATAAATCCTCGCTCTCTGATTGGATGCACTTAAGAGGGCTGGGCCCAATTTACCTCAAAATGATGATGAACATGCGGATTACACTTGGGTGAGGGCAAGATAAAGAGTTGATAACTTCACAAATCCGCCTTTGAACGCACAAGAATTACCTCAATTTTCAGCACAATTTACAAATATTTCAGTGTGGATTTTGCGGTTTAAACAAACGCATCATAGGAATACGCCTAAGGCATTACAACAGCCTGGTTTATTATTAAAGTGGAGCTATTGGCACATTGATGGCGAGCCAGTTTGATTCCACAGAGCCAGCTGCTTTGAACTCAACACTAGTTTCACCAGTAAGATTGTTTTTTGCTTTTCAGTATTAACTCTGTGAAAATGTTCATTCATGTTGCATCTGTTTTTTTTTTTATTGCTGAATTCTATCTTTAAGATCCTTAGGTCTACACTCTTAAAGAGGAAAAAAAATGTATTTTAAAACGTAAATATGTTTTTCATTTTTTTGTTGCATGCTTTAAAAAGTCCTTGTATTATATTGATAGGTGTTGAAAAAAAACTCAGATGGGGTGGGGTAGCCGACTATTGGGATGGTTTTTACCAAAATATATACCCAAAGATGTGTATGTGTGTGTTTAGGGTTGCGTTGGATGGGATTAACCTTTGACCTTTGCGATTGTATTTCCTGTTCTCAAGAGGCTCTGCAGAGCACAACCTGTTGGGCCAGACAAGCCTCAAGCCCTGAAAACAAAAGAGGCTGTTTTCAGATTAAAATGCAGATGGCAGCTGCGCCCTTCCACCATTAGTGCTTAATTTACTTTAACTCCCTTTAGTCTGCATATTAGACATATTAACATATTGTCCTTCTGTAGATCCCCCAAATACGATGAATCCACAAGGTGGCCGTTTTGTGTATTACCTAGTAATGGGAACTCGCTCGCTGTCATGTGAGAAGCAGCTAGCTTTCTGCAGCACAAACTAGCAATCAGCTTCCTTCCTCGGCTTTATAAGAATCCAGGAAGTGCGGCGACGGCTGCTCAGCACGTGATCGGTTGACTGCACTCCTGTTCGGTGTTTTATTTTATTTTATTATTGGGCCCCTGTGGTATTTGTCCACCATTTTTATTGCTGGCCTCTCACGGCTGTAAGAGAGAAAAAGCAAAGCTGCACCAGTGCAAGGTCGAAGACCCTCTTTTAATGATTGTATACTCTAAACACAGAAAGACAAAAAAAATGTTGGAAAATGTAGAAAGGAAAAAAAAAAAACTCAGGTAGTTTTCAACAGCCCTGCCCCGCAGGTGTCTCATTGAAACGTGTCCCGTAGTGATGATGTAGTACCCCCCTCCCCTCCTCTCCTTATGACCTCTCAGTACTAGTCTGATTCTTTTGTGTGCCCCATTTACATATTATAAAACGAATTATTTCTAAATCACTTTCGATTAGATTCCCCCTGATTAATCTTTGGGTTGTTTTTTTGCCAATTTTTCTTTTACAAAAAGTGCAAACGCTCTCCACCACCTGACGTCCGTTGGCCCTTTTAGAATGTATTTTGTGAAGAAAAGGGTTAAACGGCGTCTTGTTGATGCTTGCTCCCCACAACCGGCTGCCGGTCGCAGAACAAGACGCAACGCAGAGTTTTCTATTCGGTGATAAATGTTCCACACCAGCAATGCCTCGAGTGAGAGGTGGAATCATGTGTGTGTGTGGTGGAAACATGCAGCACCTCGTTCTGAACCAGCTTTACGACAGCCTTACCCCGACGGGAGGCCTAAGGGTCTGACAGCCAGCTAATCGTGTCCAAAAATCTTGTTTGCGTTGTGTCCTGTTCTCCCGGCTGTTGGGTGTGTGTGAGTGTGTGTTGTGTTTGTGCGCTGCATCCATGTTGTGTAAGCAGATATCCACTGAATGTATCCTCCAACAGTCCAAGAGGCAGGGCGGGCCGGGGTGGTCCGCTGAGTTTAGATGGTTGCTGCTGGCGCTTCCTCATGCAGGCCTGGGTGTGTGTGTGCGTGTGTTTATCAAGTCTAACCTTTCCTCCCTCTTTTACACACACACTCACACTCACACTGCTGAGTTTAAGTGCAGATGTTAGGTTTTCAGTCTAAATAAAGTAAAGGAGACTATAATATATTGGCCACCTGCCGCTCTCTCTGTACTCTGTGGACTTTAAACATTTCCTATGCAGTTTTGTTTGTTTCTTTGTTTACACTTAAATAAAGTTGTATTTCTTTGACTTCAGTCTTTTTTTTCTCTTAAACTAAACAAACACTATCTATTTATTCTTGTGACCATTTACCTTGGATGAAGCACAGAATATGGTATTATAGTGACTGTATTTTATTTTATCTATTGTATTTAGAAATCTCAGTTATTACCAATTTATTATGTTTTAAATACAAGATAATTGACAATGTACTGTTCTGAAAAAAGGAAAAACTATGTCTGAAATAATAATAGATAGTAAATAAAAGATACAAATTAAAATGTAATATTACATATAGTTTTATATATTCTTAGAGATAGAGATCTGGTATTTTACCGTTTTAAGATGAATTATTTTAATAAATTGAAGCCACTTTTCAAAAGCCCTTAGGGTAGCATTAGATATTATACAGATACATAATGCATTATATATTGATCTGGTGTTAATATATAATCTTCTTATCCCATAAATATCCCAAGCTACGTATGAGGCCTCTTTTCAACATTGTCACGTAAGCATCAGTGTAATTTTCAACAATAACAGAAAATGTTTTCCACAGTCTGCATGTGTGTCTCCTTAAGTCGGCTTTTACTTTCAAACACCACCTGCCTCTAGAAATCACGAGGGTGTGTTCATCCATGTCAACTTTACTTGGTTGGGGTCCTTGAATTTCAGTGATTTGGTCCTGGAAAAGTGATGTTTAAGAAGGTTTGAACCACTCCAGACAAGAGGGAGCAACTATCTTTTTCCATATCATGAATAAATGGTTTAAGGATTTAAAATGCAAGCTTAAAAAAAATCAAAACCTGATAACATCTATATTATTATATTCTTGATTTACAATACATTAAACATTTTTTAAAGCAAATATTTGATTACAATTTTTACGACATGTTACGTCCTCTTGGTTTTATGTAAGACTTTTAAAAAACAAAAACATGACCTTATGTACATACTGAATTTAATACACAGACAAGTGCATCATGGGCTCTCATCCCCCCCTAGTGGAGAAAACAAGAAGAAAACATTGGTTTCCTCTTCGCTTCTGTCCGAGAGGTCAGAGGTCAAATTAAAACTGTGAGTAGCAATTCAATAAAAGTAGGGGACCACATAAAATAGTGATGGTAAATATCTGGAATTAATTAATTACTTCAAGTTCATTTGATAATGATGGCTGATATTATCACAATAAACATATTTCATTTTGACAGGAAAAGCACAGGTGGGTGATTACTTTTATAAATCACACCTGTACTTTCCCCATTATGACATGTCAAGGGTAATGTGAAAAATGTAAAGAAACGGGTTTCTATTGCGTATCACAATAATTATCTGTCTTTACTGTCTCCCAGTGAGCTGCAGTTGTACTAAAGGGGAATTCAACCTTTTTATAAATGCATGCACGTTGTTCTTATGGCCATAAACTCAAATGTATGATTTGGGGAAGGATGTTATAAAGGACACTACAAGGGTAGTATAAGGGTATGTTTTCATAACTGACACCACTATAATAAAGCCAGAGGTGGGATCTCAGATCTTGTACTTGAATAAAAGTACCATAGTGTAGGAAAGGAATACTGTGTTACAAGTAAAAGTCCTGCAATCAAAATGTTACTCAAGTAAAAGTAGAAAAAGTATTAGCATCAAAATGTACTGAAACTACCAAAAGTAAAAGTACTCATTCTGCAGATTGGCCCATTTCAGAATCATATATATTTTATGGTATGATTATAATTATTGATGTATTAAAGTGTTATCAAAGCTGGCAAAGTTGGAACTAATTAAAATGACTTTATTTAGTGCTGGGTAGTATGTGCATGTAATCCAGGTGTAACTAAAGTCTTCATTAAGTAATGATCATAATGTTTATCATTAATCTATATCTGCAAAGTATAAAAAGTTACTATGTAGTGGAGTAAAAGTATATTATTAATCCCCGAAATGTATTGGAGTAGAAGAACAAAGTAGCATAACATGGAAATACTTAGTTACTTAACACCACTGAATAAAGCTCATTTGGGTGTACATAGAAACAAATAATGATGTGCAGCAGAATGAGACTCAGTTGTAGTTGCCTGCCTCCACAACTTGATGTCAGCAGCGTTACGTTTCAGATTCGCCACTGAGAGCAGAACTGAGGAAAGATGTTTCAGGAGGAGATTTGTGGTTAAAGAGTATCAATGAATGATCAGATGAAGAGGAGGACTGGATGAGAGTGTAAGCCGTGTGAAATGTACCATGGAGCATCTGTGTGATGTTCTTCAGAGCCCGGGTACAGAGAGGTAGCAGTGAGGAGGTGGGAGGCAGAGAGAGGAGAGGATGTTTGGACCCAGTTGAGTCGTGAACTGCAGGTTTGCAAAATCACAATGACACGACACGGTGTGATCAAACACAACAGCAGGCGGCTGGGACCTCCCTGAGCTGAGGAGCACACCTGTGTGAGTGTGTGTTTGTGTGTGTGAGCCCCAAACAGATGGATGGGAGGTCCCGGGCTGGTGTGTGTGTGTGTTTGTGTGTGTGTGTGAGTATGTTTGTGCTGTACGTGGCTCTCAGAGGAGCCAATTAGCTGAGAAGGAGCCACAGAGCACAGAGATCCAGATTGTTTTGCTTTGGTGGCGCCACAAACCAGAGTCAGCGGAGAGCCTCTGTCACCTTTAGTCACCCCGAAACTGCTCTACATCATTCATAGTTTTACTTATTTGGTTGCGCTGAGCATTGAGATACATTAAAGGGCCAAGAGAACAAGAAACCCACAACGTTTCCAACATGAAAAAGTAATTAGAAAGTTGTTTAAGAACTGTATTTTAATTTAATTACTTGCATTCTAAAATGATTCAGTACAATACATCTGTTCTCATGTTATAGTGACATGTCATTTCAGTCATTTTCATACTGTGACATGTTTACATGCTTTAATGTTCAAAAAGGTATTTCTTTTTCTTTTTACCCTCTGTCTGAAACCAGAGCCCAGTATGCTCTGATTGGTTAGCTGGCTGGCTCTGTTGTGAGTGGTCAACAGCTTAGAGATGTACAATGTGTTGGAGCGCTAGCCAATAGAAGCGTGAGTGTTACGTAGTGATGTCACTATGTTTCGGAGGTAAAAAAAGGAGTCCAATGGAGGTGTTTCAGGCAGGGATTTTAGTCTTTGAAGACCATTTACATGCACTAAAACCAATAACACACTAAAGAAAAGGGAAAACCCCAAAAAGCACAATATGTCCTCTGAAAGCTATGAGACTGTTAGACCAACCACAGGTGTCATTTAAAATGTAACATACTGTAGATCAGGGGTGGGGAACCTCCGGCCATTTGGTACGGCCCTCGAGGTAATTTATAAACACACGCAAAAAAGAAAAAAAATGTAAGAAATCTAGACCACAAAATTAAACAAGCGAGTGCCTGTTTTTCCTGGCCATGGTCAGGGTCCTTGAACACAACACGAGCCTAACGTGTCATCACGTGGTATATGTCTGACAGGGGTGCAGTCGGGGAGCACCGGAACGTTGCTCCGGCACTTCCAAAAATTGCAGTACCCATAAGGAGCCGTACACATGCCGCAGTTTTTGCGTGGCTGTGTCTTCAGTTGAAAGCCCAGTGGCGATCTGCTCATCTGTCATACTGATCAGTGATCATACAGTCAATAACTTTGTTGTTATTAGCAGCTAACTATGCTAACGAATATAATAAGCTGTTTCTACAACCAGTGAGGTAAAGGCACATCTTTATATGATCATTATAGTTATAAAAAAATAAGAGAATAAAGTAAACAGGTATAAAATACTATATGACAGTAAAAAAAAGTTGTTATTAATAAACAAGAATACAGTTTGAAAGGAGAGTGATTTGTAAAATATCCATAAAGAAAAATAAAATCTGCTTACAGTTCTGTTTCATATGGGTGTTGAGAGATGTATCCATAGATCTCCTAATGTTGCTCTCAAAGTGCACCAGATTGATGCTTTTAACTTCAACATTTAACCCCCCCCCCCCCACACACACTTAAATCATGTCCACATGGATAGGAAACTAAATACATTTGCACACATCTTGTGTGTTGTGTCCATATCTTTCTGTTTTGGTGGTCCTGCTACACCGTGCACGTGAATGCATGCGCGAGTCATGGTAAAATATCTGGATTAAGAGGTTGCTTTTTCTTTGCACAGCATGAAAGAAAGGCGAAATGAATGGGCTGTGATTTTAGTATTTTAAAGCAGAGGTCAATCATTTGTACGGCCCTCGGAGGATGTTGAAAAAATTGAAATGGCCCTTGAGAGGAAAAAGGTTCCCCACCCCTGCTGTAGATCGTAGACACAGATTTTCTTTTAATCAGATTTGACCCATTTTCCGCATAAATATTCCAGCTAAATGTGTGTTTGAGCTCAATTTAAGTACATTTCTTTCTCTGGACTTACACTTCCTGTTGAGCGGGTCAGATCTATGACACGTGACCGTGACGGTTGTCTGACTGAGGTACGGAGGTGTGGGCGGATTTGAGCAACCCCTCCCGTGCCGAGCATCTGCCGAAGTGTTGACGTTGAGGTGATGTAGGCCGTGACGTTGTCGAGACTCCAGAAGAAAGTGATCCCTGGATGCGCCTTCATATCCAATTCACAACCTGAGGAGAGTCATTCCTCAGAGTTGATGAGGTGTCAGAGAGAAGGAGGTAAAGAGGAGGGGGCAGATGTGAGGGAGGGAAGCATTGATTTTATCTTGTGTTTCACACTCTTTAAAGACTTCTTGACTCCAGCTCACAAACAAGACATGTTTGCGCCCTGTCTCATCATGGAGACGAGCAGAAAAACCGCACGAAATAATGAGCATTTTCAACCCAGAAAAATAACAATTGAAGATGCTCAAAGTGAAAAAACATTGAAAGCAACTTTTCCCCTATCCATAGTTTGATTGCAAATCGGGATATTTTGGAGAAAGATGAGAAAATTCTTGACTTAATGACAAGATTCACTTTGGGAAATCTGCTGGTTAAAAATATAATTTGGAGAGGGAAGTAACAATTCTCAGCTGGAAGGCTT